ATGGTTGAGAGAACTTTTCTTTCTATACCATTCACAAAATATCTTCATGATTTAGTGAGATTTTTCAGCTGTTAAACTTGATATTATGCTTAACTCTGCTATACACAGAGGCTGGCATTGCCTCATAGTTTAATTCAGGACTGAATGACTTTTATTTTAAATCCTTTCTCATAAAACAAACCGTAATGAACAGACAATGGCTGTGCAGATGCCTATTCTTAATTCATGACAGTGGGAATAAAACTGCAGCCCTTCATTCACCAGAAGGCCCAGATTATAGGTAAACTAAGTGTTTATATACACACACAGTAGATCGGGGCGGACAAGATCGGGCCTGTGAGCCCGATCTGGCCCACCAAGCCATTTGATCTGGCCTATGGCCCGCCCCACCATGCCCCCCCCCCCGGCTAATCAAGCCCTTGGGAACCACCAGCTGTTGAAAATGGCTTGTGGTTCCCTCTAGGTGTCACACGCCCTGGCAGGGCAGGAGCGGAAATCTTCATGCATTCCCTTGCCCCCAGGCCAATTGGCACCTGGGGGCGGGGGAGCACATGAAGTCTTCTCCTGCACCAGGGGCGCACAGTGCCAGAGGGCACCTTGTGCTCCTAGCAGGGGGAGGGGGAAGAGACCTCCCATGCTCCCCTGCTCCCAGGGGGAGTGCGCAAAGTCTTCCCTCCACATGAAGTGCCTAGACAGAACAGCCCCTTCCACCTGAGGCCCTGACCCTTCCGGGGCCAGCCCACAGGCACTACCAGCGTTGATGAAATACCTCCCCTCTACAAAAATTATTGCCTACCCCTGCAATGGTTGACAATGGCACATACCAAACTAAGGTCCTGATCCTGCAATTAGATGTATGTGATTCACCTACACAGTTCCTTTGAAGATTGGGATAGAAGTCCAGAAGTGGTCTTTAGGACTATGGCTTAGCCTGGAAGAGTCATTATGGCATTTATAACTTAAGGAACTTTGACTCCTGTTAAGGGCACATGTTTTAACATATTAATTTGACTACCGAAACTGATCAACCAAGTTTTCTGTTACCTACTGTAAATATTTATACATATAAACCAAGTTTCATAACTAACTGTGATGCAGCTAAATGTTTGAGCACAGGATAAGAAATGTAGCATGTTCTTAGCCCATTTTTGAACAAGATTAATTAATAGAAAATATAGCTCACTTGCCTTTTGACTTAAGAATTCCATTCCATACAGGTTATTTGACTATATCTTTCATCATGACAAATGAGGAACATTTAATATCCCATTACTTGAAATCATTTTAAAAATTAAACAAAAAGGAAAGAAGAAAAGAAAAACCTGCCTAACTTTACTACTGACAAAACATAATCACTATCCACCTGTTGCCTTTTTTTTAAATGGGCCCTGAAATGGTGTTTTTACAGACCTCTGGGGAAAAACTATACTGCTTTCCTTTTTCATGTTGCACTTACAAATTCTAAAGCCTTTCCCCTTGACCTATTTATTAATTTCATGTAAAGTGGCCTTTCGCTAAATGTGTGATGCTGCCTCACACTTGCTCTTGAGCCAAGTAAAAAGACTACAATCTTGGAATTTCATAACCAGTGTATACAGACCTTTTTATTTGGATAAAGACTAAACGAGGGACTGCAACACAATCTTAGGAAATCATCACATTACTGTGAAGTTAATATGTAACCATTTGGGGATTGCAGAATCAGTAAATCAGTCAGTAAATCAAAATGCTAATCTCAAAACATTAACCGCTCTATTTTTTTCAACAGGCCTGAAGTACTCCTACTTAGAACAGGTAATGTTCAGAATATTACTGGTTTATCAAAAAACATTAGGCATAATATAAAATTATTATTGAAGCATGAAAAATAAGAGCAATAGTATTGCCTCTGAGAAAAACAATCACCTCATGCATGTCTTTTATAACTGTTAAGATAAAATTTGCAGTTTTGTTTCTTCTTCCTAGGCCTCTTAGAGATTCTCTGCTCTTTACATTTTCGTCCTTGGTTTTGATAAGTACAAAGAGCTGACTGTATGAACAAGATCAGATAGGTCAGTGCCCCATATAGCCATGATGACATGGAAATTATTTGCCCCAGTAGAGATGAGAGAGAGGAAGATTGCTAAATGGGACAAAGATGTCACTAGGAAGGTTCCAGCTCATTGGACAAATAAATTGTGATCAGCAATGTAAGGTGAATGAAGTATGTTTTATGACTATACTATAAAGAGGTTAAGCTTATACAACAATTCCCAGAAAAATAAAATGTGCATGTTTGACAGAAATTGTGCTAGAATCATGCTAATTCAGATTTGATGCCCTTGACCCCATCCACCCTAACTTGCAGAGATTGAGAATCCAGTTTTCTGCATGGTTATGTTGGCCAGCATAAACAAGGCATTGGATCTAGAGATGAACAGAGTCTGAAACCTTTTTTAAAGACGCTATGCCACATTTCACACTACCCAACATAGCCATGTATATAGGCAGAAAACTTGGTTTTTTTTAAACAATGTTTAAAAACATTTCCTACCTGTAACATAGAGAGGGCCAAAGGCCCATAACTCTGAACTTCTAGGAATTACAGTCAGTAATGCCCAGTAGCCTGTGCTGGTGAATCTACTTCTAGCACAGTAGTTCTCTGTCCCCTAAAGTCACAGGGTGAAGCCACATTTTTATTGTGTCTACAAATCATGCTACAGCCTTGTATTATCCAGACATGGGTTGCACGTTGTGGATAACAGGGGAAGGACACTTAAGTTTCAGCCCCTTACTGGGGGGCTGGGGTGCAGGTTGGCTCCCTAATCAGGGGGGAACAGGGACTCAACCCAGAGGAGAAGCGGGAGTGGGTGTGTGGAGACTATAGTGACAGCGCCTTACACCAGAAGAAGGCAGGTAAAGAGACAGGCGCCCCACCCCAAATCCCTACAAAGCCTCCTGCCAACGCCCAGCCTCCATGTCCTCCGCTTTCCCCAAAGCACCGCCCCTTCCATACGCCTCTGCACGCCCCCAGGCTCCCCAGCAGCAACGGGACTGCCACGCCCTGGGAGGCGGGAACTGCTCCGCGCTGGCAGCGCCGCAGCCTGGCCGGGCAGAGCCGGGCTCGCTTTACCC